TTATAGGCTTATAGCATATTTTAAAACACCTATATTAAGCTGAGTGTAGTGGCACATGCCTGTAATCCCTTCACTTGGGAGGCTGAGGCAGGAGGATCGCTTTGAGTTTGAGACCAGCCTAGGTTACATAGTGAGTTCAAGGCTAGTCTGAACTACATAGTGAGACCTCGTTTCAAAAAACAAAACAAAACAAAAGAACAACCCCTATATTGTGAGTTACAGAATTTTAAATGTTAAAATATTTGCAAGGGAATTCAATATAAATTTTGAAAAAATATTAAATCATATTAAACATATGCTATTAAATGTTAATGTGTTATGAGATTGATGTTTATAAGACAATCCAATTAGCATACAGAAAAATAATTTGTTTTCTTGATGATTTGCCTGCTGTGATACATTGTGGGGGGAATCAGCAGTAGTTAACAGTAAAAGCGAAGTCAACCCTTCTCATTTCTGTGAAATAAGGTGACAGTAGATAATCCCATATTGTGCTATAGAATACTTTTTATTAAAGGAGTAACAAATGATGGCCTTGAATGTTCTTTTGCAGTAGAGATGCACATGGAGTATAAGAAAATCATTCTAGTTTAAAATTATATGTCATGTATTTTATTAAAATTTATTTAAAAATTGTAAGAGGGGCATATAAATCTTAGTATTTTTCGTGAATGTTTAACTTAGGCCTGTCATTCACTTCACTCACTACCTGATTACTTATATTAAAAATGGCACAGTGAGCCTGTAGCAACTTACCTTGATAGTACTTAGCTGAGACCAATCAGTCCCATTCAGAGAAGGGAATATCAGTAGGTTAGACAAGGGGCCATTTGAATCATGAGTAGTTTTTGAGATCTAATATGTACCAATAAAATCAAAGGGAAACATGGTTTTATTGACATACAAAGGAGGTAGAGAGGTACCAAAATAAAGTAACCTACTTTGCATTGGTTCACTATACCCTCAAAATTGTTAAATCTGTTTTGTTTTGTTTTACTTTGTGGAGTACAAATTATTTTTCTGAAATTTTATTTTCCTGAAATTTTATTTTCTAAAGTATCACTGAACTAGAACTTACAGAGCTTTTTTCTCTTCAGATATAAATATACACAACAACTGTAATGCAAGTCAAATTGAATTTTAAAATATGGGCAGATCTATGCCAGCCACATACAGGACAGTTTGTCATGTCTATTGTATCCTTGCTTTGTATTGGTTGTGAATGTTCATTAATGTAATAGGGTAATAGCAGTTTACTTAGAATATACTTGATGTAGTAAAGGAAGTTACAGAAACCTGAGCCAAAACATAATTGTGAAAAAATTCAAATATGCACCAAAGAATAGAGACGATTGCAATAAACCTGACTAGTGTACTGGTAACCTACGGCCCAGATTTAACATGAGCAAAATTTTGCCCCATTGGCTTCATCTAGTTTCTATCAGAAATCTCATCTTTTTCCTCCTAAATTCTTCAGTATACATGTCTTTTTTAAAAGATACTTTTCTTAGGCAACCATAATATATTTTTCATTTCCAACAAAATTAATAGTAATTACATATTACTCGTCTCTCTATTCAGTTTCCTCTCCTTTTGACTACAGAATGGCATTTTACATTTGAGTTGTTCATTTCAGAATCCAAGCATTTGGCTATTAGGATTGCTCTGTAGTTAAATTGTCTCTTCTTTCCCACCACTTCTCTACCTCCCTCCCCTTCCACTCCTTGTCTTCTCTTTCTCTCTCCTTCCTTCTCGTAAATGACTTATTGAAGAAACTGAATAAACTCTGGTGTAGTATGTTCCTCATTCTGTATTTTTTTGTTTTTCTGGCCAGCAACTTGGCCTCTAAATTTTGTATAAATTAACATTTAACTCAAAAAGACTTAGATTCAGGTTCCACTTTGGTTTTGGTTTTGAAGGAAGGGAAGACTAGGACTACCTCATGCGTGAAGACACTGCATCACATCAGGGAGCATACAGTGTCTGTTATCTTCTTAGCAGTGCTAAAGCTGAACAATGGTGACAGGGCAGTGTGTTGAGGGTTTTCCATCTCTCATGATTTCATCCATTGCTCATAGTTCTCTGAATCAATTCCATAATTAACTTTTGCAAGATAGTGAATTTTTTAGTCTGCTACCCCTTCAACATGGCATAGTAAATTTGTCCGTTGGAAGAAGTTTTCCCTATAAGCTAAAGCTTTTTGATTGACCTGAAATAATCATCCTAGGAAGAAGCCTGGTGCTGTAAATATGGTCTCTTAAATACCTAGTGTAATATCCAGAGGTAACTGAAGGTACAAGGGCCACGCAGCACATCAAGTACCTGTTCTATATGTGATTGTGGAGACTTTTATAGATAAAGTTACTTCATGCTTGATTTTCCTAAGCAGTGTCAGTGCTAGGATAACTCTATATAGTTAACCTATACAGTGTTGGTCATTTAAGACCAGGAGACCTTTCTCAGCCCTACTTGGTCGAATGTAGCTCTGTTGTGATGAGCTGTGAGTGCTAAGTTGAGTCGGAACATGCTACTTCATGAATCCAGCAAGCTGGACAGTGTCACCTGGACACAGTAGTGGGTAAGTGGTGATAAACTGAAATTCAGGAAATAACCAGTCTCCGGTTTTAGTATTAGCTTGTTTATTAGTTGCTACTCACTCTGCTTTATTTGATGTGTTAATGAACACAATCTGAAGAAAAAAATAAAACTGAAATTTTTTAGAAGTCATGATTTATCGCCTAAAAAAATCTCAGACGATCAACCTTTAAAACTACTTAAATAAGAAAAATTAAAAAGCCAGATATACTGTCTTTATACTGGCTGAAAAAAAAACTGGGAAAAGATTTAGTAATGGAACATTTGACAATAAATTTGAGGGAAATACTAGGTTGTTAGCAAAAGGATGATCATATTTGAAAAATATTACGACTCAAGTAGATACTATTTCTGAATTGAAAATATTGGCAAATTATTTGACTAAAAGTAATTTGTAAATTTTTAAGTCAGTACCTACTTCTCATTTCAAGATGCCTTGTGAGTTTTTTTCTGGACATTCTACAATGAGGCAAAGGCTTACCCCATCAAGATTTTTAAAAGTAACAGTGTCTAAAACAGTGATATTGAAGTACTAGTAGATGTAACTAGGTACTAGAAGAGACCTCTCTGCCCCTGGAGATTTATCTTAAAATTCTTGGACGTCTGACTAAATGGTCAGTAAGAGTTAAGAAATATGGCCTTTGTCCTGGTATTTATGCCACTGCCTGTGACTGACTTACAGCCCCATGCTTCTCTGCCTCTGATTACATGCTACCATCTTTCTGCCGGTGTCAGAAAGTACAACATGAAATCATTCCCTTTACTAGTTGCAAAAATTTAGTTTAGAAACTCAAAAGAGGTGATAAAGCAGCAAACTAGTTTTAGACTTTGAGCACAGTGTAAGATCCACATTGATTCCCCTCTCTAGTCAATGTGCCGAACCTGGGCCAGTGCACCTTTAAGTATGGGCCACAAACCAGTCCATGACTAAATGCTTACTCTCCATTTCTGTACTTGTTTGAAATTCTTACAGTGCTGTGATATTTCAGTATCATCTAGGCATGTCGCCCATGTTGTCTGATTGAAGGGTAAACCAGCCTTATTAACGTAGCTGTCTGCAGAGTTTTCTGTAGTGTGAACTTAACTCCATGAGCAGTCTTTCACTAGAAATACTGTGGGAAAAATCGGTCAAGACAGAAGAGAAGGTAGATTGCTCGGGTAGATGAATTGTTAGTATGCCTTAGCAATCTACACTTGCAAGTGAAATTAAAAATTGAGCCCTAAATCTCTGAATGAGTATACTTCTTAGACATCATTCCTCTTGCTAATAGGAATGAGGCAGATCATTACATGTGTGAGAACTTTAAGGAGTTTTTAGTGTCGGTCTATTCTCCATGAGAGAAAAGGAATACTGAAGTATTAAAAAGGCAAGTTACATTTTTTCTGTATTAGTATTTTTACTGTGTTTGATATCTGGTAATATATTTTAAGATACAGTGTGTGATTTTCTGACCTTAAAGTATTTCATTCCTTTATAGGAGTTTTGATTGTAATAATATATTTATAGCATTTTCTCATGAATATTTTAAGATAAAGCATTTTAAACATTTTCTTATTGAATATGTTATTGAAAGTTTGTATTGTGAATGTTGTATAACACATTTTCAGATTCTTCAGAATATTTATAGATTTCTAATTTGATGGTATGCAAATTTTGACTTTCAGGTTGACTTAATTTGTTAATATTCTTTATATTCACATTTTTTAGTGCTTGTTATATGCCAAACCTTATTTAAGACACTGCAGATCATCAGTGTGTCAAAAAAATCCCACAAAATTCCTTTTCCTTGTGGAGTTTTACATTCTAGTAGAGTGCTTCACGTGACTATGTAGCATTTAATAAAATGCAAAGGGTTACTTTTTTTTTTTTTTTAGTTATCCTGAAATACATATGTCATTATTAGGACATAATAAATGCAAGGAAAATTTCTGCCTGCTCTGTTTGACTCATTGCTTTTTCAATGAGTTTAGCTGTACAAATTATTATTATTATTATTATTTTTTATTTATTTATTTTTTTTGTGGTACCGGGGATCAAACTCAGGACCTTGCGCTTGTGAAGCAGGCAAGGAGCCACTGAGCTAAATCCCTGGCCCTGTGTTAATTATTTTTTAATGTAATTTACAACTATGATCACTTGATAATGTAGGATGTACTTGTATTTTTCTCAATTTCTCAGAGGGTAGAAGTTGAACTGCTCATGGTTTTGGGATTAGGGATTAATGTTTGAAACATACAGTATTTAGGGGAGATGATTTTTTTGAAAGAAAAGCATGATTTGTAGACCACCATAATTTCATCTCATTTCTTATTTTTTCAGAACCTCATTTTGTAAAGTGGAGAGATAAACTTGATCCACTTGGTGTAATCTCAGTATAATTTTTCACTCTTCTCTCCTCCCTCAGGAAAGTCATAAACTTCCAGCGCAAGAAGATTATAAAGAGGTCCCTCCTGCACCAAGAAAGATCTGCAGATCTTTTTCAGTGTCCTGCAAGTATGGGCTAAGAACTTGCTCGGTTTGTACCAAGCACCTTGTTCTCTCAAGGTAAGCACTGTACTGAGCACACACTCCTGGGCCCAGGCTCCACACTCAGGGCTGGCTTTGGAATGCTCCATGGAGGGCCAAGGCTGCCAGGCCTCAGAGCAGGGCTGCATCCGTCAGGAGGTGGCTTCCATTGTTTAGCACTGAAGCATGGCCTAGCCCATGAGGAAGGTTTTCTTTCAGTCCCATTTATGGTAAAACTTGTTTTCCAGCTTAGTCTGCATCTAAATTGGTTAGCAACTGCTGAGGTTCATTCCTCATCAAAAACTCTCCTTGGATGTCTTGAAATTTTCATCTGAGAATTTTGTAACACCATTTAGACGTCATTTGTTGACTTTGAAGATGAACAGAAAGAACCATGATTTTGCACATACCATCCATTTTTGAGAAGTAGATCAGTGTTACATGAGAATAACTTTTGCTGTTGATAAGAAAGTAAATATCTAACAAAATTTTTAAGATGGTAATCTTCTGGATACCACAGTATTGACAATGAAGAGTTAAAGTGTTGAAGAAATCACTTGATTTCATTTATCTTTTCTTAAAATGATCTTGGAAACTAGTGCTACAAGATGTGAACTTCTTATGGATCATTAAATTTGGGGTGGGGGGATTTGCTGATTTTTGTCTGACAGTCTTACCTACACATTTTATTATTTTTCAAAGGAATTGTTCTTCCTAATTTCATAAAAGATATTAAAGAGCCCTTTGTTTTTGTTGTGAGAATGAGAAAAAATACAACTTAGACCTTCTCTGAAAAAACATAACATAAGAACTAATTTACTTGGGCATACATTAGTAGTGTTGGGGCAGGTAATTTAAAAAGATTTAAATCTTGAAATTAGATACAGGCTGTATTAGAGAAGAAATAAGATAACTGAAAATTCAGAGAGATTACATGTATGTGTGCCATTTTCTTTGAAATTTTATTTGAGAGCATGTTAAAAATTTTAAGCCTTTATACATAGCATGAAGGAAAATGAACAAATACATAACTCTTTAGCAAGTTGAGAAAACATTAGCATTAAAACCTAAACCTATTGAAATTATAAGGTGAGATATGAAGTAACTGAACAGGATTTTTATTCAAACTAAAGCTTTATTATAATTAAAATGTTTTTAATCTAAAATATTTCTCCTATAAAACACACCTTTTAAAAATGGTTTTGTCTTACAGTAGTACGGGCAGTATATTTTTTAAAAGAAACATTTATTTCATGATTCTACAACTACTGTTACTCTTATTATCTTACCCCCTTATCATCTAGGGTAGCAAAAGTAAAATCTTGTCCCAGCGATTCTTAATAAGAATTTCTTATACCAACTCAATTAGGGCACCAAATAAACCATTCTTCTATCATTTTTGATAATATATAGGAGTAAAATCCCAGTATAATGGTACTGAAAGATTCTTCAATGAAACTAGAATCTTGATGATTTTGTTTTTACATACACATAAAATATATAGTATTTATTTCTTTCGAATTATGTAAGAATGATTTATTTAAAAAATGAGGTATCTTTTAAAAAACTGTAGTCCCTTTAGTCATTGTGGATTACACAGCTTAACAGGTTTCATTTCAGTGGATTCATAGAAGCACATCACTTACTTTGATAATTTTCACCCCCCTTTGCTACCCCTGTCCCGCTCTCCTCCCTAGGTTTCAGATTTGTCTGTTACTACTACTGTGTTTGGATAATAGGTCTTTAAAATTTTTTAAAAAGTAATTACAGATAGTTCATACAAACAGTTCCTACCAGAAATGTACTTTCCTAGGTAAGAGCATGCTCCCTGTACACTTAACAAGTAGATGGAGGTGAGACAGGCAGCCTGGGTGTTTACCAATATTGATTTTTTTAGAGATGGGACAACAAGGAAATTCTGGTACAGTTCTCTCCTTGAAGGCATATAAACCAGCACTGTCTAGTAAAAAATAACAACAGTGGTAATTCAAGCCACAGTTAAAATTTTTGTCTGTGATTTTAAGATTTCTAGCAGTCACAATAAGATTTTTTAAAGTCTAAATTAATTTTAATTATGTTCTATTTAACCCAGCATATCCAAAATATTATTTCAACATCAGTATAAAAATTTATGAAATATTTTACATTTTTTCATACTAATTCAAAATCTAGTGTGTATTTTATACTCACAGCACATTTTATATTGGACTAGCCACAGTTCAAGTGCTCAGTAGCCATGTGTGGCTAGTAACTACCACCATATTCGAAAGTATAGATTTAAAAAATGGTGTGGATGGCTCCCATTTTAGCTTCATTTGTGCTGAAAGTCCCCGGGGTAACACTTTGAGCTCTCTTGGTTTAGAGTTTCCAGATTAAATTAAACAATAGGAAGCAAAACAAAACTGGATAACCACTTCAATTTGACTTTTGGATAAATAACAAGTTATTGTTTAGTGTGATTATGTCCCATTCTGTATTTATCTAAATTTAACCAGGTATTTTGTATTTTGTCTGGCAGCCCTGCCCTGCCCTGGTTTAATTTGAGTGGAGGACATGATCATCAGTCTGCCTCTAAACTTGTAGTACTACAGGATAGAGACTCTGCAGAAGATTTTGACAACCTTGTGAAAATCAGTATGCAAACCACAAACTATCCGTAGCTCATTTCTTTTTGATTATCTAGGTTATTTAAGACAGAAGAGAGACTTCTTGTGACAGTGACTCAGTCCTTACATATTTAAACATTTCAAATCCAAATTATTACATTAAGGTTTATAAAGTTATGAATTGATTACTTGAATTTATAAAATATAAATTGTCTAACAGTACATCACTGGCACTACATCTCATGAAAAGTCATTCTTGGTCGTAATTGCAACTATTTTCAGGGTCCTGGCAATTTCAAGTATTTTTTAGCATTGGTTACCACAGCACCTGTTACTTAACTCTCAAGTTAGCAAGCATTAGCACAAAACATTAGGTTACTGACTGCCAGTGTAAGATAAATACTTGTAATTCTTTGCTCTGGTATTGACCATTGGGTCCTGACTCCTTTAACAATCAGTTATTTTACCAGTCTCTCTCATTTCTCATAAGGGCTGTTTTTATACAGGAACATCCTTCCATTTTTATTCTTTAATATTTTAATGTATTAATTTTAGTAGCATTTTTGAAGTACCTAGCAGTCTCTTTTAGTTGTGTGGATCTACCTGCCTTAAAGCTCTACAGAAGAGACCATTCATGTTCTCTAAGAACAGTAGTTATACAGGCTCCACATCCCCTCTCAGTGGGAACACATGCCTTCCAGAAGTAAAAGACTGTAGATGACAGCCTGTGTCATTAGCAGCTGGGCGGGCAGTTACAGCAGATGCGAGTCAGTGCAGCATTTTAGTAGTTCAGAGTTTAAGCTATGGCGCATTCCAAATCCATCCACACTTAGGAGAATGTACCCAAGAGTGTCGATAAGTTTATAATTACTGCATTTCCTTCAGAGAACAAGAATTGCAGGTAAGTTGTTCTTTTTTTTTTTTTTTAGTCATCTAGTAATTACTTTTAAATAAGACATTTCAGGACCTGAAAGTATTCTCCTTTGCCCCAAAACAGTCACCTAAAAGGTCTCAAACATAGCCTTCATTATATAATACTTTCTTCCTTACTCAGAGAAGGAATTGAAGCTGGTAGCAACTGTGGGGTTGGGGGGAAGACAACTTATTGTCATTTGAAAGCTGTGAATGTGAGAAGAAATATTCTAAGTTTATGTAAGAGTCTTGTTTGGTCTAACTTATAATGTCTAAAGTATAAGTTATTTTGTCAAATTAACACCTACATTTATGTATAAGTAAGGTTTTAGCCTTTCCTAGCTAATGTCTTTAACAGCAGTGAGTAAATTAATGAGCTGTATTTGGGATTTTGCTTTTATTCTCAAGACTAACTTGTTTAAAGGCTTTAGTCTTATTTTTTTTTATTTATTTTTTTATTTAGCCTTATTTTTGAAACCACAATTTAAAGCTACTAAAGATCATAACTGTTATCTAGTCCTCTTTTTACCTAGAGATACTTGGATGAGCTTTGTATAACCTTATTTTGTTCCCCTATTCCTTTTGGGGGGGGAAGTTGTCCTTAATTTTTATCATATTCTCAAAGGGTTTTATTAGAAAAAATTTGGTCAGCCACTACTTACTTGAGCTACCATAATCATTTTACTGATGAAGAAACTGAGCTGGAAGTAATTTAATACTTGTGAAAATTAAAGCTTATTTCTTAAAAAATCATACCATTAAGAAAACTTAATTTGCCTCAGTGAAACTTGAGAATACCAACTTAATTGGAATAGTTTACTGATAGTTTGTTATGTCTTTAACTGGAACATTTACTAGTTATTTACATAAAAATGGCCCTCCATTAAAGAGACTATATGATAAATTCTTGAAGATAAAGAGAAAATGAGTAATCTATAATAATTTAAATCATTTTTTCTTTCAAATCCTTTGTCTAAAAGGAGTGACTAAAACTTAACATAGGCAAATAATGTTATTTTTGTTAAGCCTTGAGTATTTTTCAATGATTAGGGTACATTGGGATCTTTTGATTATAAGATGCTTTTAATGTTATAATAATACTTTAGAAATGCTAAGAAAGTTCTACATTAATTAAGGGAACCAATACCTCCTCAAAATAAGGAAAATAACATGTTGGTTTTTTTTCTTGGTAATGATCAATAAAGTGTACCTAAATCAAGATTTATGAATGTTCCATTAATTGAATGTTAGAATAAAAAGAAATTGGGATGTTAATATACAGAAAACAGTTATTCCCTGAAAAGAATAATGTAAGACAACTTAAAACACTGTAATTTTTATTTAAATTATTCTGTGAAGATTCTAAAATGAGACTATAAAGCTCATTATAAAAATACAGATTTCAGAAATAGATTTTTGTTTCTTTTTCTTTTGAGCGTTTTCACTCAATATGATCATTGCTTGCACCCTTTTGCTTTCAAGCCCCAGTGGTAGGGCTTGAACCCAGGACCTTGTGCATGCTAGACACACACGATACCACTATGCTGCACCTCAGGCCCATAAAAGGTGGCTTGTTAAGTGAGCCAGATTTTACTTTTAATTCAAGATGAGCAATTTGTGAAAGGCACTTGTTAGACCTGTGTTACTTGCCATGGGTAATTCAAACAAAGAAAACAACTGTATTTTTACTTTTCATCCACCAAATTACTTTCATATATAAGGTTTAAATTATTCATCAGAACATTTGCAAGTATTTAGAGTTTTTTAAAAGTTCAGTAGAAAAATATTAAATATTGAATTTTCATTCAAAGAAACTGAAACAGTTAATTGATCCACTCAAATTATTAAAACAGTGGTGATGTCTTATATTTTATGAGATTAAAAAACCTATCATTTCTATGTAGACAATGAGTAGAAATTCATTTAGGTTCAATTTTATTATCATACATTGTTTAAAATAGAACTTTCAAGTAAGAACCATTAAAAATAACTTCTCCCTTGGGCCAGGAATTTAGCTCAGTGGTTCTGCCGCCTGCCCCACAAGCACAAGGACCCGAGTTTGATCCCCCATACAAAAAAAAAAACTTCTCACTGTGCCTCCATGCACATGATATATATTTCTGTATATAAACAATTTAGCATTTAACTCTTATTTTCTTTAAGTTTATGTATTAAAATGTTTTAGCAATTTAATAGTATACACTAGAGTACTTAAATTTAGAAACTTTACCACAACTACCTGTGATGTTCTTATATAGGGAATAAATAAGTTTATTTAATCACTGTGAGATTAAGAGTGGAAATGAAACATTTCCTGCCCTCACAGAATTCAGTCTACTAAAGATGTGTGATGGGGTGTTGAGAAGGGAAGGCAGAGGGCATTGCTAACCTCATATGGGGTCAGAGAACAAGGCTATAATCCATCTCACATGGCAGAAATGAAATTTTACCTGAACCTGGGACGCTACTAGAAGTTAGTAAAACAAAATGGGAAGGTAGAATAGTGTTCTGAGCTGAGGGCACGACAGATGTGAAAACCCTGAAAGGGAGAGCAAGACATAGTCAAGACAAGACGTATGGAGGAAGGAAAAATGAGAACATATGGCAAGCCATCTTTCAAGTCATTACTACTTCATATTGGGGCTTTAGTATAAGAGCAGTGAGAAGACATTGACCATGAGATTTACATTTTTAAAAACTTTTCCTTAAAGCCTAATATACATCTAGAACAGTGAGCGTATTGTAAGTATATAGCTCCAAGAGTTGTCATGAGGTGAACCACCTGTGTGATCAGCACCAGATAAAACAGAACACTACTAGCATGTTGAAAGTCCCCCTATATCTTTCCTTTCTGATGGTCCTGTCCCCTATTCTTTAAGGAGACCCTCTTGCCTGACTTTTTTTTTTTGGTACCGGGGATCAAATTCAGGTCCTTGTGCTTGCAAGGCAGGCGCCGGAACCACTGAGCTAAATCCCCAGCCTGATCCATGTTTTGAACATAGTTGCCAATAATTGTCATTGCCCTCTAACATTCAAATTCTATGAATGTACCTGTTTTTCTGAGATCACTACATCTCCCCCATGAAGGATAGAAAGGTGTGAATTCAGTAAGCTTCACAAGTCTAGGAAACATGATAATGGACTTTGGCTAGTGTGGTGGCAACGATGATGAAAATTAGTCGGCATATCGGAGAGCTCCTTATGAGTTAGACTGCATAGAATGTGGGGGTGAGTTTGGGGTTGGAATGAGGAATACAGAAAACCCAAGAATAACAGGTTTCTGGCTTGGGCAGGGCCCGGTGATGGTGCCCCCCATTAAGTCCAAGCAGTGGGTTCCGTAGTAGTGATAGAGGAGAGTGATGCATTTGATTTCTGATACATTTGAGCGGCATTTGAAGTATTGCATAGGTCTGCTTTAACAAATACTGTAACTAATTAATATCTGAATGAATAATGTTACATTCATTCCTACAGTGTGTTAACAAAGATTGTACCTATCCAAAATGGCAGATCTTGTCTTCACTATTCTTCATCTTTAAATCTCATGGACACTTTTTATACGTTTACAAGAGTGATCTTGTATCGTGTTTTTCTTTTTCATTTATGTATTTCCCCAAAGTAGTGCTAAATTTATACACAAGAGCAACACTTCCTGTATAAGAGACATGAAAGACAAATTTGTTATTTGGTAAGACTTTAATGGGCTGAAATAAATGTTCATTAAGTTTTGTTAGGAGAAGAGGAGAGAGAGAGATGACGTTTAACTTAAACTCTAGCTGAGGCAGGTTGCACAAAGGAGAACCCTGAGCACCTAATTGGAAAGAGCACCTAATTGGAAAGAGATGCAACACCAGAGTAGTAGAGTAGCCGTTCCACAGGAGAAACCTCGCCTGCTTCCCAGTGGACTCAACATGTCTTTTCCTGGAATCAGTGGACAGGTTTCAGGGAGTCTGGATCTCTCTGCAGTCACGGCAGTAGTTCGTGGTATCTTTTCTGGAGAAAGGGTCTGTTGCTTTTATCAGAATCTTAAATCCAAAAGAAGTTGATAAAATAGTCCAGCTCTGCTAACATAAAATATTTTTAATTTAACTTCTTTGTATTTTTAATGTAGAGAATTAAATTAGAGAAATTAAAACATTCAGTATTATAATGCCCCCACCTTGTTCTTGATATTTACTAGTGCACTCTTCAACAGAGAATCCTGATAAATGTATTAGTAGGATTGATTATATAATTAATTAAAGATAGTGTTTGTTTTATTAATTCCATGACTTTTCTGTAAAATGACAATTAGATTGCTTTTTTAGATACAGGGATATTTCTAAATATGTTATTTCAAGTAGAGATTTCTTTCTGTTTTGGGTCAGTATTATAGACCTTTCTGCAGCATAAAAGCATTTTCAATAAATGTCAAGTTTTAATCTAGAAATCTGACTCACATGAATTATGTTTAATCTTTTGTACAGCTCTGTAAAGATGGAATCAACAAATTATGGTCCATGGGCCAAATCCATCTCTTTGCCTGCTTTTATAGGGCCTACAACATGTAAAAATTGGATTTATATTTTAAAATTGTTCCTTAAGGAAAGAAACAGCAAATAAACATCAAAAATGTTCATCATCACTGGTCATTCGAGAGATGCAAATGAAAACAACACTGAGATTCCACCTCACCCCAGAAAGAATGGCTGCTATCAAGAAATCAAC